TTTACAGAAGCATGAGTTTTTTAAGGTCTGAAGTCCAGAACACCAGCTTTACTTTCCTCCTCCTCCACTCTAATTCCCATTGACCCTACAGCCCAGGGATGTCTGTGTTTCACAGAATGACAGAATGGGTCAGGTTTGAAGGGACTACTTGTCCCTCTGGTTCATCTGGTCCAACTCAGAGCTGGTCCCTGCTCAGGCAGGGCCATCATTGAGCACAGAGCACTGGGTTGTGTCCAGACAGCTCTGGAATATCCCCAGTGAGGGAGACTCCACATCCTCTGGCCAGTCTGTTCAGTGCCCACAGCAAAGTCCTTGCTCATGTCCAGGTGGAACTTCCTGGGCATCCTTCCTGCCCCTTCCTCTTGTCCCATTGCTGGGCACCAGGAGCAGAGCCTGGTCCATCCTCTGACACCTCCTGCAGACACTGACAGACATCAGTAATGTCCCTTCTCAGCCATCTCTTCTTGGGGCTGAGCAGGCCCAACTCTGCCCGTGTTTGGACACTGAATTTCAGCTGCCATGAGTGCCTAGAACTGTCTCTGGCCTGGCAGGTTTGGGCAACCCAAGGTGTAGCTCACACCTGTGACAAGGCAGACTGCATTATCTGGGTATCCTAATGAGAGGCCAGCTTGGGGTGAGCCTGCTGGACATCTTCAAAACAGAACTGGAAATTCTCTGTCCAGTAACACAGAGGGGCAGGAGATGCTGGAGATTCCTTTGTGCAGTGGCTCCTTTTTTGACCATTTTTTTCAGATGAGGAGTTCTGTAGGAGCATTCTAACACAGATGCCAAGACTTTCTTACCATTTTGCCTCATGGCAAGTGAATACTGCTGAGAGAGATTTCTGATGTGAATCTATACCTCCTGGGCTCCCTAGAATTCAGAATTCAGTTCCTAATCATTGCTTTGTTTCTGCATGTTGTGAATTCTATTCTGAGATCAGGTGTCCCAGTGTATTGCCTAAAGAGCTGATGGTCCTAAGTAAGTAAGATCGTCATTTGGGTTGTTTGCTTCCCTGAGAAACAAGATTTAGATTGTGTGATATTGGGTATTGCAGCATCAAGTGGGATCTTCAAGCACAAACCCAGAAAACCGCAAGAAATGTAGCTGTTTATGATGTTTTGTAGTAATGTGCTATAAAAAGAACAATTCTGTGTGGGATGATACAGGGCGCTCCTGAATGAGATAGAGAATTTTGATTTGGTAAATTGCTATTTTAACTGAACTGGTGTCCAGCATCGCCACAAAAAGCAGAAAATNAATGGATGTTGAAACTGAGCAAGGTGCTGTCAATGCTCTGAGCAGTCTAGGCTGTGGTGGTGAGGTGGTGGTAAGCCAAGGAATGTCATGGATTACCGAGGGTGAAAAAAGAGGATCAGTCTGTTGCATCCCTCTCAGTTTGCTTGTATTAAAGTTATGGCAGCACATGCAGATAATCATGTGCTGGGAGAGAGGGCAAATTCCTGGGAAATCTGAGCAGGATTGGTGAGAGGAGTCCACAAGGAGGTCAAAGAATGGCTTGGAGATGTATCAACTAATCTGAGAAACTAAGATGAACCAGAGAATAGGATGTGATTTACTTGCTTATTTTCACTACTAATGAGATCTTTTGGGCATTTGAAGAGTTTGACTTGGCTACTAGTATTTGTTCCATTCATTTTCTATTAATTTTCAATACTTAATATATCATTGTTGTGGAATTATGAAATTATAAAGTATGCTGATGTTTTAATATAGCCAAAAAGGGAAGTTGGAATTTCTTAAGCTTAAGAAGGGGGACCTATTACAGAGCATAAATTGCTATCATAGTATTTTATTTTGGTAAATGACAGCAGCCCCCAATGGGAACAGTGCTTAGAGCATACGTACTAATAGAAGAAAATCCCATTATAACTTGCTTGAGTAACTTGGCCAACTGAGAACTCTTTCAGAGATATGCAGGTATAATAACTATGCAAGTACATAAGAAATAATTGAAATAAGGTATCTTGAACAGTATCAAAAAGATTGAGAAACAGGGTCTCAAAATGCAGTTTATGGGAGAAGCCAAGAAATGTATATTGAGTGTTAAAGTGAGAGCAGTAATACTGGGAGAAAAGAGGATTCTGTTGGAAAATGAGAGTTCTGAGAATTCTCAGAGCTACCAATAAGAGGGTGTTCTACTTTTTCTGCAAGGGTAAGCTGAATGGATCTATCAGTTATGCGCATGATAGGATGGAGTTACATTTAGTGCCGAATTATGAAGGAGGATGTTTTTTTGTACAAGTTTGGACAGTACTTATCCAAAACTTTTGCCAGTTGTTTTTAGGCAAGCCAACATTTTCTCATTTTTATTTTCACATATTTAATAATGTGAGCATTTGGTCTTCCTGAGATATAAAAAATATTTTTACCAGAGTTATTTTTGACCACTTAGCCAACATGAATTTGAGCAAGTGCTCAGGAGAGGTGAAGCAATCCAAGTGCCCACTCCAGTGTAGATGATTTGCTGGCTGCACAGCATGTTTATTGTAAGGCATAGTGCACTGCATAAAAGATCTAAGTATTTTATATTAGACTGTCCTGAAAGCACTTGAGGTATTTGCCCTTCTTTTTCTACTTGGGGATATGGATAAGCTCCAAATCCAGGTGTGTATTATTAGGGATTGAAGGGGAGGCTGGAGGAGGGGAAAGCAGAGGAGGAGAAGGATTTGAGAGGTAAGAGGATGCAATATTGGAGGAGGTTTTTGACTGTTTTGCTTGCCTGTAGGTGACACTGTTGCATCATTTATCTGTACATTTTCACATATGTTGTCCAGGGACAAAAAAAAGTTTCATTGAAATAATTTGAGGGATTCAAAAAAATACATTCCACTAATGATTCTTTAGGCCTTGGCTAGAGAGTGGAGTCTTAAACAGGTACATGAATTGCGTGTTCACCTTCCCAAAGATGGCAGCAGTTTATAATACTCTTTGTGATTAACTAGTTCACTAGCATTGCATCTTCAGTAATCCCTTGAAAGGTGAGATTCTAAGAAGATTGCTCTGCATGTTTCTAAAGACTAATGTAATAAAGCAAGATGATAATACACTGATGAAAAAAAAATCCTAATTTGCTGCTAAATTACAGCAATATAAAGTTAAAATGTTTTTCTTTGCTCAAGTAATTTAAATTAATAATGTGTGTCATTAAGTGAAATCTCAGAGAGGATTTTTTCTTCTTTGCCATTAAGTCTGCTGGCTGCAGCGAAAATGAAATATTCTATGAGGCTTGAGCAATCATCTATCTCTAAGCTATGGTGTGCCTGCTGCCAGATGTTCAGGTGCTGCTGCTGCTGCTTTGACATGTATATCTCTTCCAGGCAAAAAAAACACAATATATACATCAGTCCAGGTGCAAGGTGGCCTTGCCAGCAAACCTGCCTCCTCCTAGCTGTGACACTCATCCACTCCCCGTCAGAGTGTGTACGTTGGAAGGGGATTGTAATTAACCCCTGGAAAGCATAGGTTTCACTAAAGTGATGTGCACAGTAATGATATTGTTAGCTTCCTTAATTTCCAGTTTCACCATCAATTATGCCATGTGTTTCATCCAGTTGGTGCTACCCTCCCAGTGTTAATTATAACCTACAAGACTGTTACAGTTAATTTTATGGCAAGCATATTGTCTCTTCAAGGCTCCACAGCAGCTCATAAATTATCTTGAAGGTAAAATGTAACTTGGGGAACTAGTTATGAAAATTCCATCCATCTCGCTTAGGAGGTGCAGCTGCTACTGTCAGCTGCCTCGCTGCTGCATTGTGAAGGAATTATGGTGGGTCAGGTTTAAGAGGCGAGGCCCAGGCTGTCACTGAGGAGAAAGGCTGTCCTGGCCCTGTCAGACAAGTACCTTCTGCCAGTCCCTCGTGGTTTCACTTTGCAGGCAGTAAAAGGCAGGCAGTGCAGGTGGATAGTCCCCAAGCTGTCTCTATTCATTACTTTACAGAAACTTGTTTTAGGTAGGCAGGTACGGAGACCTTTTCACTGTTGTCATAATGTTAGGCATCATCTGCAAAGTGCAAGATAGATAACTCTATAAATAACTCGCTCTTCTGTTGGGCTGGGCTGGTGGAGAAAAGATGATTAGCACTGTAGAGGCACATGAAATAGCTCGCTGGTTTGTAAAATGACTGTTGGTTTAATTGTAGCAATAGCTTGGTCTGGAAGAGCACATCTGTTCGCCTTTATTTCACATACACAATAAGAGGAGGTGCAATTTCACTGCTAAGTAATTTGTGTTGGAGTTTCACATTAAATAAATTAGCATGGGTTTATATGGGCTTTATTTATGACATCTGTGTGTGTGTCCTGTATGTTTTTGCTGAAGGAATTGCAAAATATTGTTCTTAATAAAAGTGAGGGTCAATAATAAAAACAAAGCAGCCCATTGCTCAGAACAATGAGATTGGCATTCAGTGCTATTTATATTTTAGTAATATACTTTTATTTTTACTATAATTCCTTATTCTTTGTAGCGATAACACAAGACTACCATAGAATATAATGTCTTATTCTGCTGTCTTTTCCTTTAATGTTTTGTATTTCAATAGTTTTAAATGCTGTTAAACTTTGGGTGTTCCTTTAAGACTAAAACCAAAGTGCAAATCAAATTTCCTGAGAGGCTTTTTATTCTTCCACTCCTTACCTTTCGAAAGGCCTTCTGTGTTTATGGTGTTGTTTCCTAACCTCATTTACAGCTGGGAGGGCACATGAGAAGGAATGCTGAAAGCTGATACTTTTCCATAGGCAACCACTGTGCAGATGTAGATGTACAGACTCATTGTGAATGAGTAAATGTTATGAATTAAATTGAGGAGAAAATGAGCAAACACAGTAATGAAACACAGTAAGGGTAATTTATCTAAATATATATTGTTTGTTTGTTTTGACAGTCTTCATTCAATTTTAATTATTTTTGGTTATTCATTACATAGGGAAGAAAACATTTCCAAGATAGTGCTGACATTGTAAATTAGACCTTT